CAAAGTTTTTGTCCTTTTGTCTGTTTTCTCTTAATCTCTGACGAAGCTTTAATAAATATAAATCATGTTCGATTGATATACTTTACCTATTTGTTCAGTTACGAAGACAGTGGATCTGACACAAAACCCTTTTAACCTGCTCGATTTTTAGCTGAATAACTCAAAGGGTTTTTCAGTGATTCTTACGAATAATCGTGTCAACATGCCTAGACGTCTTATATGAAAACTTGGAAAAAAAGGAACTCAATTAGTTTTGTGGTTTTTTAGATATTAAACATTTTGTGGTGTGGATAATTATGTTGTTACACGATTTGGACAATTTTGCTGTTACACACACACACACACACACACACACACACACACACACACACACACACACATATATATATATATATATTTCTAAGTTTTTTGGTAATTGAAGAGGAAGGTAGTAATTGTTTGGTTAATGATGAATTTATTGTCATTCATGAAGCTTTTTGGTAGCTGAGTGTAACACAAAACTCGAAACAAAATTATCTTTTAGTTTTGTTTATGAATTATCTCCCTGCGAAATTTACGTTTCGGTGTCTTGAGTATTTATGAGGCTGACGTGTATCTCGCAATATTTGTTTTATTTCAACATTAATAATGATAACGGTTGTTGTTCACGAAGACTGTGTTGTAAGACTGTGTTGTAAGAGAGTGTGTTTAAGTTCAGACATGTTTTATTTGAGTTGTTTTCTCTTAGGAACGTGGCTCTGCATGACTCCTTGCAGTTTTTTTTAAGACGTTCACAAAATCGCCTGCAACAATGAATTCTTCTTTTATGTGTCGTGTCCCTTCAGGACATAGGTGATCATGGCTCTCCGCTTCCTCCTATCCCTTGTAGTTATCAATGTGTTTTGTCCGTTTGTTACTTCTCCCAGACCTTATTCTACAACCCACTTGCTTAAGCTCGCTAAGAATATGACGCGTTGCTTTCCCTGTGAGTATCAGATTCTCCACTCCCCTTTCTCATTACGTGTTCCAGAAATTTCAGCTGCTTCTTTCTGATTAAAAAAAATATATATACAATTATGGATGTGTAAGTAGTGTTATGGTTAACAAGTCGGAAAGAAAAATGGGTGTGCCGAGTTCGTTACATTAAGTTTTGAACAAATACTCCAGGGAAACGTATGAATTTATCGCTTCTTCCCCCCCGCCAGGTATGGGCTAAATAGCAGCACTGATCGGTTTTTGCCTAGAGGTGGCAACCCATTTATGAGAAGGAAAACTCTGACTTCAAAAACAGTTCGAAAGAGATATAGGCTTCGTTAGGCTATTTTGCAGTAGACACATCACTGCTGCTATCGTTGCTTACGGCCACATTACGTGAAAAACATCGGTCCTTGTGCGATTGCCGAAGTTAAGCAACGTCGAGCATGGTTATTACCTAAATGAGTAACCGCTTGGGAATATCAGCTGCTGTAATCTTGGGAAAGGTATGAATCCACCTCTTCCCCCCAGCTATGGGTTAATTAACAGGACTTGTATCAGTAAGATTATTATTATCTCCCCATCGCACAAAGAATCTTACAATATTTTCTGGCTTTAAATATCCTACAAAAGGTTGATAAGCCGTAAAAAATAAATGAATCAATGTTGCTGAGGCCCAAATAGGTTACAGTACTCATTACCTGATAAACAAGTTTTCTATTCAGGCTCATAATTGCCCACCGTCCCATTTTTGAGTAAATAGCTAGATATCTATAACCCCTTGCGTGATAGTGGCACTCCCGATTTGCTTGGGGGAAAATACCGCATTTATTATAAAAACATATTATCGGATTTTACGGTTGACATTAAAGGGTTAAAAAGTTATTCGACCGGTCAATGCTGAGAAATAAACAAAAGATCATTATTGATTTTCTGAGTGTCGAGACTTGCTTTTAAGAAAATCAACGTTACTTAATGCTATTACATGTTACTTTCATCATCCGATGACCAAATCATTGCCTGGTCACCTTTAATCTGCTCGAAAATGCACTTGTCATACGTGTATATACAGCAGTAAGGGTTCGGGTTGGTCTTAATCAAACTTTATCATTTAATTCTACTCAATAGTAGATTCGTTGCATATACATTGACGAATGTACAATAGATTGGTATATAAATAATCACGCCTACAAATATATATATATATATATATATATGTGTGTGTGTGTGTGTGTGTGCAGATCTTTTATTACTTTAAATGTTATTTTTAGTGGCCACCCGTATTTAAAATAGATGCCCCATTTTTTTTTATTTTAAAGAGTGTATTACGTCTATCGACGTGTGCGCTCGAACAATATTAATAAAGAAACTGTACACACCACTAAGGTTTGAACATGGTAAATTAATTACAGATACTGTTCAAACTGCACGCTACCTGCTTCAATGCTTTACTTTTATAAGTAACTGTATAGTGATTTTATTGCCACCTATATATATATATATATATATATATATATATATATATATATATATATATATATATATATTTAATTTAATTTAAAGAAAAGAACAGACAACTTTAAGGTTCCATTTGTTTTTTCTTTAAATTAAATTATTCGCTCTGACTTAACATTGAGCTCTCTGGATTTCATCCTCCTTGGGATTAACCATACGGATTACCAAGATTTTCGTTACGCAGACACACACACATACACACGCATATATATATATATATATATATATATATATATATATAAACCTTGTTATCAGCACTTCCAATAAGTGTGGCTGGTTCTACACAAGCCTTCACCACTCTAAAGAAATCTTTTATGTGGATAGTCTGCAGTTCAGTTCTGTATTCCTTCTATGCTATTCCACCTAAGCAACAAGTCCACTGGCGAGAAAGGCGACAGAACTGAAGGACACTCATACGTCGAAATCGATGGGAGAGTCCATTATATATATATATATATATATATATATATATATATATATATATATAGTAAGAATAAACGCTAAAACTTAAAATAAGGTACAAGCTTAAAATATAATGTATACTGAAAGCTCAATACCAAATGCGACAGAGCCTCAATATAATAAAATATTATCAACACCAAATCCGATACTCCAAGTTTCATGAAATAACAATTATCAGGAGGGACTGATATATATATATATATATATATATATATATATATATATATATATATATATATATATATATAATGACTGGCAACTCATATCTGAGTGTGCGTGTTTACTTTCCTGTTGCTCAGGTATATTTGTGCTTTTTCCCCACCCACCCACAGAGCCCTGCAATTATGCTGCAACTATGCAAAGCGGCCTTAATTACAGCTTGTGGGAGAGAATGCATTATCTTGTGTGATCAATAGTCTAAATAAGGCCAGTGCACTCAAGGTCTCTGTCACGATGACTTGCTACTTCGTTCTCGCACAATCATTGACGGCTCCAAAATAGTTTCATCTATCCAATTTCACGCACAATGTTTGGGTCATCCCGTCGAACTGTTTTCAGACATTCAGGTTTATATATATATATATATATATATATATATATATATATATATATTGAGCGCTTTAACTCATAAATATAGCATAACTTAAAAGTATATTTTATCATAAGGATACTCAACACGCAAACAAAAACAATAATCTTCTACAAAATACAAATACAATCAACTATAAGCAAGATGAATCTTCACTTAGAAATATCATAAAGAAATACACTACCCCAATTGACCAGAACCAAAAAATTAAATTATCTTTTGCAAAAAAATTAAACCAGTTAATCTTATCCTCAAAAATAACAAGACACCTTCCTAATCAAAACTACAAAGAACCAACGTTATCTACGAGTTCAAATGTCCCTTAAGGAACTTTGTTCCTGATGAAACCAAACTCATAAATAATTACATCGGTCACACTACTACATGGCTATCCAGACGGCTGACGTTACACCTATACGACCACAGTTCTATTAGAACTCATTTAAACACACACACAAACCTAAAAGACTCCATCCAAAACATACTAGTAGAAAATACAAGCATGCTAGCCTCATCCAAAACAACAAAAAAAAAAAGAAAAAGAGATTAAAGTTAATGGAAGCCTTAATAATAAAAAAAGCAAAAGCCAACACTCAATAACATTAACTACAGCCACAGTGTGCTGAGCGTGTTTGGAAATAAAAAATCCTTAAAATTCTTGATACATACATAAAACAACCCATACATTCAGTTAAAAGTAAAAAAATAAAATCATCCTTCATAATGGCTATAATTATAGCTGTATACGCTCGGAAATGCCGAACATTTTGACAGTTTTTACACATTTTATGTCAAGAAAAGAAAACACTTGTACGAATACAAGAAAAATTAACTAAAAAGCTTAATCGCACTACCTTGTCAGTCGGTTTTAACGAAACATGTATAAAAGATCGATAGCTGCCTAAATACACAATACATACATATATACATACATACACATATTATATATATATATATATATATATATATATATATGTATGTGTGGGTGCGTGCGTGTGTGTGTGAGAGAGAGAGAGAGAGTGTCTGTGCGCGTGTGTGTCTAAAATTACTTCTGAAGAGACGAGTGGTTAAAACATTTGCTTTCCGATTATGACACCCGTGTTCGATTGTCCGCATGGTTGATTTTTACAATATTTAGAAATACTTAACGTCTCTTCAAAAGTAAAATATATATATATATATATTTACTTCTGAAATATATATATAAAATGATTTCCGAAGCGCAGCTTACATGTGGCACAAGGCTGATAGTATGGAGTTCGATCCTTACTGGGTGCCGCATACTATCAGCCTTGTGCCACGCTTGGAAAATATCTATATCTATATCTCTCTCTCTATATATATTTCGTAAATATATATATATATATATATATATATATATATATTTATTTATTTATTTCTGAATAGACATTAAGATATTTCTAAATATAGCAAAAATGTTTTTGTTTTTTTAACTTCCTGTGTAATCAAAAATTCTTTCATGGACCCCCTTCGATGTATACAGCCTCTTCTTTTTCGTTATGTAAGGCATAGAGTTTCTCATTTCTACTCGCTTACCTTCTCTCTTTATTGGCCATGGAGCAGAATGTCTCGAGTTTTGATAATTCTTTATCTCTTATTCTTTATATCAGTTCATCTTTCTTTCTTTCTGACATATTTTTGCTCGCTCTTCGCTTTCCAGCCCACACCATATTGTCTTCTCATTGACATATTTTCTCTTCTCTCTCTCTCTCTCATGTACCCACGTCAGTTTCCATTCCCCCTCACCCCCCACGCGCGCTCTCTCTCACTAATTGTTTCGTCCTCACCGTCGCCCGTCCGCGCTATGCTGGATGCTATTTCCCAGCGTTTCCGTCGGTGCTCCTCTTCTCCCAAAGCCAAAACGTTCGCCTCTGCTTTTGCCCGATTATCGCTGGCGAGCGAATCACCATTCTATTTTCCTTGATGCCTGCCGTTGCCAACCGGCCCAATTTTCTTTGCTCTGCTTAGCAACAACAATAGCAACATCAACAAATTCATCAATAATTTAAACAAATCAATAATCATGACTTTCTACAGAACAATGTAGAAGACGCTTCCCACGCCGTTGGGCCTTTGTCTACCTCTTTACTTCTCTTGGAAGCAAAAGGAAGAAATTATTGCTCATATTAATCATAACGCGGATGATGATGATGATGATGGTGATGATGATGGGTATAGTCATAATGGTAAATATGATGATGGTGATGTTGATGATGACTGTGATCGTTATTATGGTGAAGACGACGATGACGATGATGATGATGATGATGGTAAATATAATGATGATGATGATGATGATGATGATGATGACTGTGATGGTGATGAAATTGAAGACGAGGATGATGATGATGACGGTAAATATAATGATAGTGATGATGATGAAAATGATGTTGATAATGGTAAATATGACGATGGTGATGATGATGATGATGGTGGAGATGATGATAATGATGATGATAATTTTAAATATGATGATTACGATGATGATGATGATGATAATGTTAACTGTGATGACGGTGATGCTTTTGATTATGATGATGTTGGTGATAATGGTAAATATGATGATGAAGACAATGATGATGATGGTAATGATGGTGATTATAGTGGCAGTGGTGGTAGTAGTGGTGCTGCTGCTGATGCTTATGGTAAATTAAAAAAAGAAACAAGAGTCATTATTTTTACTGTTGCTGTTATTTGAATTAAAACCAGAATAACAACAACGACGGCCCGAATATCTACACGCATTGATAGCGATGTTAACAGAATGGCAAAGAGCTTAATATGGACACACGTCATCATTGCAGGAAAAGACGACAATGTTTTTGGGAATTTAAATCAATGAAAACAAAATTGTCCGCTTCATTTGTGACTCTTACTCTTTATCAAAACAACAATACTGCTCGTGGCAATGTTAATGGTGCTAATAAATACAACAGTAATTGGGAAAGTGATGACAATAACAATGTCAGTCATCACAAATAGAATAACAATGCAAAGGAAAGTTAATAAAAAAAAACGAAATTAAGCTACAATAAAAAACACATGAAATAACTGAATGAATAGGTGAAGGGTTTTGGAAGCCATGACCATCTGTGCAATTTTGAGCGTTTGCCTTTCTTTCATTATTATCTAATTTCTTTCTTTCTTCCTTTCTTTCATTTTTGCGTAATTTAGACGACAATTTATCCACAGCACCCTGTATATATATACATGTGTGTGTGTGTATGTGTGTAAACACTCACCAATTGTTACCAAAACTATCCGAAATATTGATTGAAATCCGACAGAATGATAGAATAAAGAACACCTAGGAAACTTTCGAAAATTTAACATGTTTCGCTTTTCTTAAAGCTTCATCATAAAATGAAATATGAAAGCGTGAGGATCTCGGTACATATCAACATGAATATTTGCTGATATATTATGAACTCTTTTGTCGATTTCAACATATGAAGATCTGACAACCGTGTTCAGTTTTATCTTTGTGCCGTATGTGTCACTACAATCCTGCTAGTGAGCTGCATACAAGTCCACATATTGTGCAACAGTGAGGATCTCGGAACATAGCAACAGGAATATTTGCTGATATATTATGAACTCTCCTGTTGATTTCAACATATGAAGATCTGACAACCGTGTTCAGTTTTATCTTTGTGCCGTATGTCACACTACAGTCCCGCTAGGGACCTGCATACAAGTCCACATATTGTGCAACAGAGAGGATCTCGGAACATAGCAACAGGAATATTTGCTGATATATTATGAACTCTCCTGTTGATTTCAACATATGAAGATCTGACAACCGTATTCAGTTTTATCTTTGTGCCGTATGTGACACTACAGTCCCGCTAGTGACCTGCATACAAGTCCACATATTGTGCAACAGAGAGGATCTCGGAACATAGCAACATGAATATTTGCTGATATATTATGAACTCTCCTGTCGATTTCAACATATGAAGATCTGACAACCGTGTTCAGTTTTATCTTTGTGCCGTATGTCACACTACAGTCCCGCTAGTGACCCGCATACAAGTCCACATATTGTGCAACAGAGAGGATTTCGGAACATAGCAACATGAATATTTGCTGATATATTATGAACTCTCCAGTCGATTTCAACATATGAAGATCTGACAACCGCGTTCAGTTTTATCTTTGTGCCGTATGTGACACTACAGTCCCGCTAGTGACCTGCATACAAGTCCAGATATTGTGCAACAGTGAGGATCTCGGAACATAGCAACAGGAATATTTGCTGATATATTATGAACTCTCCTGTCGATTTCAACATATGAAGATCTGACAACCGTGTTCAGTTTTATCTTTGTGCCGTATGTGACACTACAGTCCCGCTAGTGACCTGCGTACAAGTCCACATATTGTGCAACAGTGAGGATCTCGGAACATAGCAACAGGAATATTTGTTGACGCTTTTCTACGTTGGCTTTCGTCTCTTTGCCGGTCAATACAACAGATTTTGAAATTTCTGATACCATTCTGCCATAAATATCTCCAGTCATTTCTATCCAAGCTAATTCGCTCGAAGTCAGTATGAGGAACATTGACAGGTAAGAGGTTACTGTTTAGCTTGTCTTCATACCTGTCCTTGCCATATATATTGCTTGGAAATCTTCAATATAAACAGAAACAGACTATCATCACTGTTTTGTCCGTGTATTGCTTAATGTAATTGTCATCTTTGATAATGGTTTATGTAACTGAAAGCTTAGATAGGATTAAAAAATATGTATCAATATTGTGATTTTCTTCCTTCGTTTAATGATAATGTTATCAAGCTTATCAGACGATATGAAAATAATTTACATAAAATAAATAGACAACTCTTGTCTATATTATTTAATGAAACATGCATTAATATATATATATATATATATATATATATATATATATATATATATATATATATATAGTCAGTAGACACCACCCATCACCTTTGTCAGGTGTGTCAGATTTGTCATTTAACAAAGATATATTAATTAATAATTATTATTTACATGATAATAATGATAATAATAAAAACATCCTTATTAAATATAGAATTGGTTCGATAAGTACCAAAACCCTTTTTAGTACCTTGACAATAGCACGAGTCTAAACAATGGTAACTAATTAATTTCAAGGCAAGCATTGCAATAACTTTATTAGTAGAGCGTTACATTTCTGAAGTCAAACTGAAGAGTCACAAAATATGGGTAATAATAAATAATGTCATCTTTTTTTTTTATGTATGTTTCTTGTTTATCTGTGGATAATTTTTGCCACGTTAAAGAAAAATAAATTAACAATTGGATCATGTCCTGATTCGAATGTCCCACTCCAAGATTTAATATTAGAGATTAAATATTTACTAACATTTAATTTGTTATTAAGTCAGTGGATCAGCGGCTCCCGGGGAGGGGGGTAAAACTATTTCCCTATAATCCTCAAATATGTTGTTTTCTTTTTGTCTTTCTATCCTCATCACTGTTGCTTTGTTGGTGGCGTTACTGTCAATCGATTCTCTCGCCCTCCCTTAGTGAAAGACCCTAATAATTTCCATGTCACTAACCACACCACTCATTAGAAGTCGCAGTATTTGAAATGTGGTGAGCGTCGTTAGATGATTGTAATTAACAAGATAGAAAGTGGCGTATAAACTAAGCCAGATTGACAACAACACAGAAAATCACTGTTATTTCATCGCACAAATAAAAATACAGACAATGTTACAATAATTCAGTGGACCGATATCGTTGAAGATGGTTGGTTTATAAATTAGACTGACTTTTCTTTCTGAAAGCTTCGACAATGACTTGTTAACATACCGACTCCTCCTATTAGTTTCATGGTCCGGCCATTCTATGACGTTTTAGTGTATTTTTGTCAGTGTTCTACGTTCTTTCAAGCAGATGATTTTTAGAATTGATTCAAGTCTGGAAATACTAGAAATCTGAGTTGAATTTAATGTCTTAATTTAAGAACCATTGATATCAGAAGAGTTGCCCTGTGCTGACCTAAATACCTACTGGGTTCAACTTAAGAAATAGCAAAGTAACTTTTGTATTCGGCGTCACATCAGAATGCCAAAAGAGACAGGTGCCTCAAGAGGTGTCCTCATAGCAACCAAGTACAAAATCAGTTCGCCGACACAAATAAAAAGTTTACCCAGTCGAACAAGAACTATACACACGCAAGACAGTTGAGTGACATGTTATAAAAATGCCCTAATCACTAGAGGGAAGTCTAGCAGGTTGATGCTGTTGACCTGGGTGTGGCCGTCGAGGTACCGATGCAATTTCTTGTAGCCAAGTGTGAGAGTTGGATATAGTCTAGTTTAGTCTAGTTTAGTCTAATGAATTCTGGTACCAGAAAGATGAGGCATTCTATTTCCGAGGAGGCAAATGCTCAAAAGGTTTTCCAGTGGCAACAGTAGCAAGGAGATAAGCAAGAAGGTGTGAATTCATAACAGTCATCAGTTGCATATGACGAATAAACTTGACCCACTAACACTGATAAGCAGGAGACCATTGGATGTAGTAACATCTTAATTAATCACTAGTGGCGCTGAACTCACAAGTTAATGTATTGGTACACTGCATTTGATAGTGTTTTATATTCGTTTCTCTTTACCAACCGATGTCTCAGGAACATCCTCATTATCAGGTGACCGCAAGTCGTCTGCATCGACAAACTGTGAGACAGGACTAGACAAGTCCCAATCGAGATTGACATCAAGAAACGGAAATAGAGATCGATAGGCCACACACTCTGCAAGCCTGCTTCTAGTGTCACCAAGTAGGCCCTTGACTGGAATCCACAAGAGAAGCGAAAAGTAGGTCGACCAAAACAGACTTGGCGCAGAAGTGCTGACACTGAGGTGAAGGGGATCGATCAGAACCGCGTTCCTTGAAAAGTTGTTGT